TTTTTAAGATTTTATTTGTTTATTTGAGAGAAAGGAGAGAGAAAACAATTGGGGAGGGGCAGAGGAAGAGAGAGAGAAGCAGTCTCTCTGATGAGCTGGAAGGGCCACACGGGGTTCTATCCCAGGACACGGAAATTATGACCTGAGCCAAAGGCAGAAGCTTAAGTGACTGAGCCATCCAGATATCTCCAATGACTTATTTATTTATTTATTTATTTATTCTTTCTTTCTCTTCTTTTTAAAAACGATTTTATTTACTTATTTGACAGAGACATAGAGAGAGAGCACCAGTAGGCAGAGAGGCAGGCAGAGGGAGAAGGAGAAGCAGGCTCCCTGCTGAGCAGGGAGCTGGATGCAGGGCTCGATCCCGGGACCCCAGGATCATGACCTGAGCCAAAGACAGACACTTAACCAACTGAACCACCCAGACACCAACGCCCCCAAAATGATTTTCTTAATAACATTTTGTTTTCTTTAGCTTACTTTGTTGAAACAACATAGTATACACTACACATAACATATAAAATATGTGTTGATCAACTGTTTCTGTTATTGGTAAGGTTTCCAGTCAGCAGTAAGCTGTTAGTAGTTAAGTGTTTGGTATACGTGCTGCCAAAGCTAGCACAGTAGTTAAGTGTTTTAGGAGTGAAAGTTATACAGTGGATTTTCAACTCTGCCGGGTGGGGGTGGGGTCGGTGTCCCTCACCCATGTGTTGTTTAAGGGTCAACTGTAGACACTTTTTACAACAAATAGCTGTTTTAAAAAAGCAGTTGTTCTTGTTATATATGGATGTTTAAGCTTTGGATAAAAAAGAAAAGGGATTTTTAACAAGTCCTTTGATTATTATGGAATCATTTTTTTTTCTTTTTCAGTTCTAGTTCCCTTTCTAGACTTATGAAAGCCAACTACAAGGACACAGAATGTCTTTCTTTGACCTCTCTGATTTGTCTGATGATTTGCATTTCTACCTCAGCACAATGGACCATGTTAAAGGTCTTCTAGCCATTTTCCATGAGAGGGTAATAGGTCATAATTGGGAGACTTTAGGTTTGTAAATGAAGTATTTTTTAACATTCCCTGTGACTTTTCAATGTTAAATATTGAGAATTATTTAATGTTTGAATACTCCACTAAAATTTTCATATTTTTTATTTTTGGTTCTGATTATGGTAGAGATTTAATATCATTACTGAGTTCTGTTCCATATTAACATATTTAGGTTGTATCAGTCATAATAAATGATACACATAAAATATGCTGGATGGCAGACCATTTCAAATTGCAGTGGCTTATTACAACAAAATTTTATTTCCTCCAATTGAGTATGTATATGTAAAAAAGATTAGTATAGACCCATACCTCATAGTGTATACAAAAACTAACTCAAATGAATCATAAACTATGTAAGAGCAAACCTATAAAACTTCTAGAAAAAACACAGTAGAAACTGTTTGTGATCTTGGGTCAGGCAGAGAGTTCTAAGATGTAACATCTAAAGCGTAAGACATTTAAAAAAAGATAAATTGGATTTATCTTTTGATAAATCCAAAACTTTTGAGCTTCAAAAACACCATTAAGAAAATGAAAAGACCATCCATAGAGTGGAAACAAATATTTGCAAATCATGTATCTGGTAAAGGACTTGTATCCAGGATATGTAAAGAGCCTATAACTTGATAATAACTGGACAAACAGTCCAGTTAAAAAATGGGTAAAAGATTTGAGTGTGTGCTTTACCAAAGATATAAGAATAGCCAGCTAATGAGCACATGAAAAGATGCTAAATATCGTTAGCCATTAGGGAAATAAAAACTGAAGCCACAATGAGAAACCAGTTCACTCCCACTGGAGACAATAGTTCTTTGATTCTTTGTATAAATAGAAACATAACCAAAAAACAAGATGACATTCATTCTGTATTTATGGAGTAAAGGAGAGAGAGAGGGAGAGAGAGAGAGAAGGGGGACTCTGAGTTCTATTAGCAAAAGATGAGAGAGAGTCTGAAAGGAATCTTCCAAGAGGTAGGATAATCATACATTTGACTGGGGAATGGTTTTGCTAGGTTGAAGATAGTACAGTTAGGTCATGGTAGAAAGTTAAATAACTTAACCTTCAATTTAAATAAGACAGACAATACCAAGTATTGATGAGGATATGGAGAAGTTGAAACCCTCATGCATTGCTTACATGTTATCTCAAAAAGTTAAACATAATATATCATACAACATAACAATTCCATTTCTAGGAGACTATCCAAGAAAAATAAAAACAAGTATCTACACAAAGACTTGTACACAAATTTTCACAGCAGCATTACTGATAATAGCCAAAAATTGGAAATAATTGAAATGTGCATCAACTGGTGAAAGGATAAAGCAAGATATATTACATTCATGCAATGGAATATTATTCAGCAATACAAAAGGAAGAACTACAGACATGTGGTATAGCAGTGATGGACCTCAAAACGTTGTGATGAGTAAAACAAGGCAGATCAATAGACTACATATTGTAGGAGTCCATTTATATAAAAAGACTAGAAAGACAAACCTGCGGAGATACATAACATTGTCTGGGATTGGGAATAAGAACAGTGATTGATTACAAGTGGGAAAAATGGATATTTTTTGGATGGTAGAAATGTTTTAAAACTTACTGTGCTGGTGGTTGCACAACTCTAGTTTCTGCTTATTGTCATCATTTAGGGACCTGAAGTACCAGATGTTCTATTTTAATACATGGTTCCATTATCACCACACAGAGGGAAAGGGAATGTGCCTCTGCCCCTTAAAGCTTTTCCTGGGAAATGATACACATCCCTCTCCTCCCATTTTATTGGTAAAAACGAGATACATGGCCATGACTACCTTCAAGGATGCAAGAAGTGTAATTGTACTGTGTCTGGAAGAGAGGAGAACCAGAACAGTCCTAACGAATATGATATAAATAAATAACAAGAGTAAATTGTACCATTTACTCTGACTGGAGTTATTTTGCTTTTATTTCTGAGACACTTGACACATTTCTTTTTGAAGTCCTACTCCAAGACTTTTGGCAGAAGTCTGGAAGATGGCAGAAGAGGATCCTAGGTTCACTTGTCCCACTGATACACCTAGATAATACCCACATCTATGTAAAGTCCTAATCTATTGCCTGTTGCTTAGTTGAAATTTCTAAGTCCCCAATTATGGGTACTCTTTATATTATACCGTGACTCCTTCAGTGACTTCGATACCCTGAGCACCTGGTTTCCTTAAATTAAATTGATGCTCTTTAGAAAAACGACAAGCTTTTTCTTTTTCTTTTTTTTTAAATAGGCATCATTGCTTCTGTAATGTATAAGGGATTAGAATACTTTCCTGTGGCTAAAGAGGCCAAAATTTAGACCAGTAAATGGGAAACACAAGAAAGCAGATTAATAGGGGCACCTGGGTGGCTCAGTGGGTTAAAGCCTCTGCCTTCGGCTCAGGTCATGATCCCAGGGTCCTGGGATCCAGCTCCGCATGGCGGGTGGGGGGGTGGGGGTGGGGGTTGTGTCTCTTCTCAGTGGGGAGTCTGCTTCCCTTCCTTTCTCTCTGACAGCCTCTCTGCCTACTTGTGATCTCTGTCAAATAAATAAATAAAAATCTTAAAAAAAAGGCAGATTATACATTTATAGATGGAAGAATTTTCTAATTACTAGGATTGATGAAATTGAAATGACTGTCTCTGAGCAACTGAACTACTGAAGACGTTTAAGTTGTGGCTTGATGACCCCTTGAGAGAAACACTGAGAACTTAGACCAAATGTTCTCCAGAACTTATGTTCTATGATTAGGCTTTGCTGCACAGCAAATATATCCATTTGTGTAATATCTTTATTCATTTGTGAACTGTATCTACTTTTTTTAAGTCAAAACTCTTCTCAACCAAAAGTGTTAAGGGGATGGAAGAGGAATTTATGAGAAACTACTTTATAATAGAATTCAGAGAAAGTGAAACTTGAAAGGTAGCAGATAGAGGCTGTATTAAGACAGATTTAAATTTGATTAGAATTATGAGAAGCAAAGGAGTGAAAAGTATGACTAAAATATTTAAAATGTTGAATGGTTTGGATAGAACAAATATTTATTTGCCAAATCCTGAGATTATGGGATGGAGAATCGTTTTTGAAATGTGAGTAAAGTGAGTTTAGGCCCAAGACGTACTTCTTCTGAGAGAAAAGAAACCTGTATTAACTTATCCTTGTATTAATTATCCCTGTTATATAATGAGACAAAAACATAATTTTAAAATTAAAAAAAATATTTTGACAAAATTATAAACAAAGGTGCTACTAGGAGGAGTTGGGTTGTAACTAAGCATGCCCTTCCAGCTTGTCACATGGACTTCCGGTCGGCAGCAGAATATTGGCAGGCTAAGGGTTTGCCCTAATATGAGAAAAGTTCTGTATTCCTAAAATAAATCACTTTGCACGGTATTATTCTCAGATTTCATCACAATTAGGAATGATTGCAAAGCAGGTACACAGAAGAACTTTCACTGTCAAGGAAAAAAAAAATTCCGAAAATCTTCTACGCAAGGCGCTCCTGATAAGGAATTTGGGACTGGACAATAATCGCAGAGCAAAATTTAATTCTGACATCCAGGGTCTCTTCGGTGAAGGAAATTCGAACAGCAGGCCTCCAGGTAAAGATAGAAGAAACGTGCTTTATCTAAGATAATGAAAGTAAGTCGGCAAGACCAGATATAGAGAGTACTGTCGCATTTTTCCGGAAATAAAAAATGCACAACGCAGACTGGACACGACACTTTCCTTTATAAGAGAAACAGCAGTAACACAGCATACGGACAGGAACGCAGCGATCACTATTGTGTTAGCACCGGCGGCGGAAGGACTTAGTCTCATCGCTACGTGAAAGAGTCCTTCTTTGTTCAGCCTCGGCCAGGGACGCAGAGCGCGGTGTTCTTCCGCGCTTGCTGCACAGTCCCCGCCCACTCGCTGCCCTGGAGAGCTGCCATTCGGCACCGGAGTCGCTCCGCGCTCCCAGAATGCACCGGCGGTCCGCGGGAAACCAAAATGGCGAAGGGCTGTAAAGAAGTGGGCTGTGTTTGAGGCCGGTGTAAGAAGGCTCACTCTACTCTCAACCCTCGTCCCCAGGACCTCGGTTTGCGCGTGTGCATGTGCGGGGTGCCCGGTGGGGCGGGTGCGCAGTAAGTGCTTGGACTCGCAGGGGAAGCGCCCAAGGGGACGTGATTGGTTGTTTTTTCCTGTATGAAGCGGTTGGCACCACTGAAGTGACCGAATGAGGTGAGAGACCTTGGCCTGGGAACCACGCTCTTCCGGAGGAGGTGGGGGCGGGGGGGGGGAGAAGGAAGAAAGGAAGCAAGTATAAAAGGGAAAGATGGAGGATCGAAGTGGGGGTGGGATCTCCAGTGTGTGTATGCGGGTTCCTTGCATTTATGTATATGTTGAAAAGGATGGATAGAATGGTGTGGTCATTTAGGTGTTGGATAAAATAGGGAGCGAGCAAGGCATTGGGGAAGTCGGTTGGAGGACCATGATGAAACGTTGAGACGGGGAAGCTATGTTTGGAGGGGCAGGAAGGAACCTGGGGGCGGGAGACGGTTGGAGGGGCAGGATGAACCTGGTGATGAGGGGGTGGGGAACCGAGGGGAGGAGCCGTTAGGAAATGCGGACTGAGGGAGACGTGGGGAGCTGAATGAAGGTGCTGCCTGGGACCTTAGGGGGCGCAAAGGGAAGTAGCAGCTTGGAACCGGAGGGTGGTGGAATTGTATGGAATTGGAGTAAGGGGCTGAGTAGAAGGGCAGGATGGGGTACGTGGGTAAGGGAAACACTAAGTTGAGCCTGGAAGCAAACCCTGAAAGCTTTAAAGGGGAGAAAGGGGAGGGAAAATGTGAGATGGGAGCGAGACACCTAGTATTTGGAGCGGACAATGAAATCTAACTCATCCCTCCTCGGATGTAGATATGTATTATTCATTTTTACAACTGAGGTAATTACGGTTCAAGGGATTTTAACTGATTTGCCAAGATTTTTTTAACATATTTTGGTAGTGCCAGAACTCAACTCTGTGTGTTTTACAATCTGGTGTCTTTGGTTGCTAGAATTTTTTTTTTTTTGGAAGCAACTAGAGGGAACAGATGGATTTATCGGGGTGATTTGACGAACAGAGAGGGTTCGTGAACAATGGAAAAGGGATATGGAATGTTATTCTATTCTTTAAAACATTTAACTTACGTTAAAGTTAGACCCATTTACAAATAAAAATATGCAGACCTAGGTAGGCCTGTGTATAACGTCAGAAAGTACCGTATGAGGTCAGTACAGAACTAGAAATATGTAAATAGTGCCTGATTTAATTTGACTTCAGATGCTGCTGTAGTAGTAACTTTCTTCTTAAGCATTGATTCCATGTGACCCTTCTGTATAGGTTGCTTACACGCTGGTTTCAATTTCCATGTTTTCATTTTCTCTTGAGAATTCCTTTTTTGTGTTTTGTTTTGGGCAGTAGATTGCAAAGACTGAATCTGAAGTATTTTATAAGGGTAAAGTAAAATGTACTTATATTCTTAAGTGACCTTTTCAAAGGCTTGAAAATGCTTTACATGGAGCCATTTTGACTAACAGCTTTAGGTGCCCAGTAATTTTGGCAGGGGAAGAGTTGATTTTAAATTTCTTAACATAGAACATTTCATTCTTGATATTTAGAATGTTATTGACACTCCAACCATTTGCAGTTATAGCTTGAGAGGGAATACAAGGTGAAATTGTTTTTGTTTTTTTAGGTTCCTAAATATAAAAGCATATTCGAAATCACATTTTAAGTTTGCTCACCTTCAGGTTTTTTTTAAGTGCTAAAAATATTCTAAAATATTTGAATTAAGAGTGCACCTGTTTCCTGATGCTGCATATTCATGTTAATGGCATTAACGGAAATCTATACCTACCTATCAGGATGAAATACACAATTTTAGAACTAGAAGTATAGAAATCATCCAGTTAAACTTTTTCCTGGATGAAACAAAATATATTTAGTGATGTTTTTAATTATGCTGGTTGCTGCAAAGCTCAGTTTGGAAAGGGATTTTATTCTGTGTATTTTGGCGTGGGTCATAAATTTTTTGATGTCATTGATTTATAAATACACCTTTCATTAGATCTTGACTGAAAAGGTAATTTGCTTTATTCTTATTTCAGCATAATCTTTATATCTGGCTTTAGGAAACTGGTGATATAGTAATAATCTATTTTAACAGATAGGGAAATTTGCCCCTGAAATGTTGTCATGGCCAATATCTGTAGCTGGGTGGTTCTGGAAGTAAAATTGAACTGCTGTTTTAGTCTGGACTTCCATGAATAATATTCTTTGGTTGATATTTTTATGCTTTGTTTTCCTTGTTTTTCAGGATTTGTTTATTGCAGTAAAATGCACTATAACAACCCTAAATTAGAATGTATAAATTTCTGTGTGGGTATTTTTTATGTATTGGTGTAGTGCTGTTCAGTAGAATTTTCTGCATTGATGGCAGTGTACTGTATCTCCTCTATCCACTCTGGTAGCCAAAGCCGCATGTGGATGTTGAATACTAGACATATAGCTGGTGTGACTGAGAACTGGATTTATAATTCAACTAATTAGAACTAAATTTTAAATGACCATATGTAGCTAGTGGCTGCTGTATTAGACAGCATAGTATTAGGGGTTATTGCATTTATTTATTAAGAATTGTCACATCTAGGGGTGCCTGTTTGGCTCAGTAGGTTACTCCTCTGCCTTTGGCTCAGGTCATGATCTCAGGGACCTGGGATCAAACACCACCCCCCCCCCCCACGGCCCCTGCCTGCATCTCTGTGTACTTGGTTATCTTTCTCTCTTTGTCATATTAATAAAAAAAAAAAAAAGTTGTCACATCTAATAATCATGGAAACCACAGCAACCCAAGGGTAAGGAACTATCTTGGAACTAAGGATTGAAATTCTCTTTGTACATTTTTAAGTAAAGTGTTCTTCATTTTTGCCTCACACCTAGTTTTCTGTCATATCTCTACAAAAGAATGAAGAAGGTAGCAACTTCTCTGATCTTTTATTTTTTTTTTTAAGATTTTATTTATTTACTTGCAAGTGAGCATGGTGGGGGGAAGATGTGATGGGGGGATGAGGGGGGAGATGTGACAGAGAGAGAGGGAGAAGCAGAGTCCCCACTGAGCGCAGAGCCCAACTCAGGGCTCCCTACCAGGACCCTGATCATGACCTAAGCCGAGTCAGAGGCTTAAATGACTGAGCCCTCCAGGTGCCCCTTCTCTGATCTTTTAATATATGATTCTGTTTCCTTTGTCAAACAACAACAGAAATCGATGTTAAGAAAGTTAGTTTACATTTTTTTTTTTTTAAGATTTTATTTGCTTATTTGACAGAGATCGCAAGTAGGCAAAGAGGCAGACAGAGAGAGAGAGGGGGAAGCAGGCTCCTTGCCAAGCAGAGAGCCCGATGTGGGGCTCAGTCCCAGGACCCTGAGATCATGACCTGAGCCAAAGGCAGAGGCTTAACCCACTGAGCCTACCCAGGCGCCCCTACATTGTTATTTTTAAAAAATTACTTGTTTTTTAAGTATATCAGTTAAACTTTTTATTAAGGAAAATTTAGAAGTCATGTACTAAGGGAACAGAATAGTATAAACATTTTTGTATCCATGCTTGTTTCATCTATATCTCTATGCACTCTCCACTCCTCTCTGTTGTTTTTGTTATTTTAAAAAGCTTTTTAAGGTAAAATTTACATATATTAACTGTATACTTTGTAAATAACTTTATTGAGGTAATTCATCTATCATTTATATATATATAACTCACTTGTTTGTACCCTTTTAAGGTACAATTTACTGATTTTTTTTTTTATATATTCACAGTTGTGCAACCAGCACCATTATCTAATTTCAGGACATTTTCATCAGCCCAAAATGAAAATCTAACCATTAGCAGTCACTTTTCCATTATTCCCTCCCACTACCCCTGGCAACCTCTAACCAATCTTCTGTGTTTATATTTTGCCTATCCTGGACATTTCATGTAAATGGAACCATATAATATGTGGCCTTTTGTGTCTGGCTTCTTTCACCTAGCATAATGTTTTCAGGTACATCCATGTTATAGCATGTATCATTCCTTTTTAAGGCCAAAATATGTTTCTTTGTATGGAATATATTTCATTTTGTTAATCTATTTATCAGTTGTTGGGCATTTGGTTGTTTCCACTTTTTGCAGTTAATAGTTTTTTATTTGCAGCGAATGTTCATTTACAGGATTTGTGTGGACATGTGGTTCATTTCTCTTGGGTACATACCTAGGAGTGGAATTGCTGGGTCAGGTGACACCTCTGTATTTAACATTTCAAGAAACTGCTGAACTGTTTTCCAAAGAGCCTACACCTTTTTGCAGTCTCACCAGCAGCTCTGAGGGTTCCAGTTTCTCTACATCCTTACCAGTACTTGTCTATCTTTTGGTTATAAGCATTCTAGTGGGTGTGCAGTTGTATCTCATTGTGGTTTTGGTTTGCATTATCCTGATGACTAATGATGCTGAGCACCTTTTCCATGTAGTTATTGGCCTTTTTTATACCTTTGGAGAATGGTCTATTCAGGTCCTTTGCCCATTTAAAAAATTGGATTATTTATGTTTTCATTGTTGAGTTGTAAGCATTGTTTATGTGGTTTGGATAGAAGTCCTTTATCAGATGTGTGGTTTGCAACTTTTTTTCTCCTGTTCTTCAAGTTCTTTCATTTGATGATGTCTTGTGATGCGCAGAAGGCTTTAATTTTGATGAAGTCTAATTTATCCTTTTTTTGGTTATGCTTTGCCTTTTTTTTTTTTTAAGGTTTTATTTTTTATTTGACAGAGAGAGCAAAAGCTGGGGGAGCACCAGGCAGAGGGGGAAGGAGAGGCAGGCTCCCTGCTGAGCAGGGAGCTGGATGTGGATGTGGGGCTTATGCTTTTGATGTTATATCTAAGAAAATGTTGCCTAACACAGGGTAACACAGATTTACTCCTATGTTTTTTTCTAAGAATTACATAATTTTAGGGGTGCCTGGGTGGCTCAGTTGGTTGAGTGTCTGCCTATGGCTGGGGTCATGATCCTGCCAGGATCTTGGGATTGAGCCCTGCATTGGGATCCCTGCTTAGTGGGGAGCCTGCTTTTCCCTCTGTTCTCTGCCTCTCCCTCCAATTTGTGTGCTCTCTCGCTCACTCTGTCTCTCAAATAAATAAAATATTTAAAAAAAGAATTATATAATT